TCTTGATAAGCATAAAAATAACCTTTTTTAAGATTCCTCATAGGATTTGAAAGAAAAGAAGAAAAAAGCATTTACTGGAAACAATCTGTGGCCTTACATACAGCTGGTCAACAGCAGTTCTGGTCATCCCCCCATGAACTTATGTGATGCACTAGCATGGCCTAGACACGCTAGCAGTTGGCAAGGTCCCCAGCTACCTATTAAAGTATGTGGCAAGGAAATTTACGGGGCTGCTAGGAAGAAATTGTGTTGTGTGCTTCATTGACAGCTGTGAAAATCTTTATTTGGATTAATGGAGCAAAATCCTGATGACCTAAAGAAACCATTGCAGAAAACAGGCCTCTGGCAGGCAGAGCTGTGCCAAATGGTGAATGGTGAAATGCCAAATGGGGAAATGGTGCCAAGCTGTGCCAAGGGAGGTTCAGGTTAGAGATAAGGAGGAAGTTCTTTACTGAGAGGGTCGTCAGAAGCTGGAACAGGCTGCCCAGGGAGGTGGTGGAGTCACCATCGCTGGATGTATTTAAAGAGCGGGTAGACGAGGTACTTAGGGATATGGTTTAGGGGGTAGACAGGAACGGTGGGACGTGATGATCTCAGAGGTCTTTTCCAACCGAGTGATTCTGTGTGTGATTGTGTGTGTGTGAAATGAAGCAGATTTTAGGTAAAGCTTTAGGTCCTGAGATTGGATTTTCTTTCTCAAATTACTGGAGTTTGATGCTGCACTAGTTGAAGTCAGTGGTGAAACACTGCAGTGCCTTTGTTCATCTATGTAACTAAAATCCTCAAAGACACTTTCATGTCTTACTCTGTTGATGCTTTTTGCTTCACTGTGTGAACCATCTGGTGTTGAATTACTGTATGTGTTGAACACTATAAAATGTCATGAGGAAACCAGCCTAAAAGAGTCTGTAAGAATGAAGTGCAAGAATTTTTTTTATTAGATGTCTTTCCTGAAGCTATGCAATAAAATGACATTCAAAGGAACACTGTTCATGTGCACGCTATACATAAGGATAAGATTTATTTAATTTGGAAGCCCATATAATTAAACCTAAACAAGTTTTGCTGCATATACTGTTTTATTCCTTCACTTACAGTAATGGGATGTTTCCAATGCTCAATGTTCATTAAAGTGCTTATACAGAGAGGATTTAATCATCCTAATGATTATGAAGTATTATTACTACAAAACATTTATCTGGACAGTATGTTCCAGTCTCCACATTACTGTGGTTGAATTCAGAGGTACCACCTAGCAACTGAAGCCAGTTACTGCTTTGGCCTATTTCATACTCATACTCTGCAACCATTTTTGGAAACAGTATCAGCCAATTGTAGTTCACTATCATTTCAAGTACATAAAGACTGCTTTCAGACTAGCATGTGCTGCAAATTCACAGTTGCAGTTTTGTCCAGGCTTACAAACAGATTCATAGTAGCTAGGCAGAGAAGATTTTTTCAAGACAAAACCACAGAAAGCAAGCCTTGTTTAAGGCTTGGTTTTATATTTCTCTGGGCAGAGATAGTTGTAATCCAGTGTACATGTTCATGGAGCTTATATAACCTGAGCATTAGCTGGAGCAAGTTAAGCCTCCGAATCACGGATAAGTAGTGCCAAGTTATTTGCATGTGTGCCTGCCTGTTTTCGGTAGATAGGTTGGAAAGGGGAAGGACATTGCAAGGAGTAAATATGTCTGAAGAGGTGTAAAGAGAAATATTGTCTGCAGAATGTAAATAAACCAGCTAGTGGCTCTCTTTCCTCTCCTTTCTGCCTCCACAGTATGGATGCTAGTTGGCATCATGCGGTATTCTTGTTAAGCTCTTTCTGTCCAGCTCTTTATCCTGCTTGCTGCTATTTATTTTGACAACTGTTGCTTTCACTGAGAACAAAGAAGCTGAAGTGTCACAAAATTCAGTAGAATCTCTTCCCAGTCCTCTTGCACTGATTTCATTTTGTGAGAGAAATCTTCCACAGTCTAACTACTTCACTACTTTGACTTTCAGACAGACATAACAGATTTTTAAAAAGTGCAAAGCTGTGGCTATGCAAAAATTATCATTTTTAGTTGACTGCATGAAAGAAGTGGTGACTGGGGAGGGAGTACTATAGGAGTGTATTCAATGAAATAGTCACTGTACTATCAATTAGATCTCTAATACTTCTAATGCGTTATTAAATACAGCCTTTAGGAAGTCTTACAGCTCCTGATGGTACAGCTCCTGAGAAAGAAAAGAAATCTCCTGCTGTTCAGACTAAAGCAGCCAGAGGGAAAGGAAAAGGGAAGAAAAAGGGAGGAAAAGGAAAAGAAGAGCCAGAAGAAGAAACAGACCCAAGAAAGCTTGAACTCTTGAACTGGGTGAGATGAAATTATTTGCATTAAAACTGCTGAAGAGTTTGGTTTTTTTCATCCTGGGGTACAAAGAGAGAAGGAAAATATACATAATGAGAATGCTCATTTGCACGTTCTCACAAGATCAGCAGTAGATTCTGCAAGGACGCTGTTCAGTCTTTGAGCCAGGAATCCTCCTCTTAGCCCAATTGCATCCCAGGCAGCCATACCACAACAGTACAACTCAGTGCTTATCTGCTGCACCTTCTTCCCTGTGTTTGTCAGAAGGAAATAAGAAGACCACTGAACATCTTCATGCTTCCTTGTACATGTTTTCTTATCCAGTGAAGGCAGTTTAAACATCTTCATTTCAAAGTGCTTCATTTTCCAGTTGCACTAGATTAGATTGTTCTGTTGTCTGGATTAAGGTTCATGTGTCAAAAGGATTGCAGTTCTAAGGGTTTTCCCCTCTCCTACTGGGTTCTAACTTCTTAGACCTTATTAAGATAAGATCCTTTAGACTTCCTGACCAACATTTTCCAATGGCAGAGCAAAGTTGGTGAGGAAAGAGGGAGTGCTTCTTCCCAAATGACTTTAGTCTTTTGGCATTATATGTTATCTCTGTGAGGCAGCAGTTTGGGTGATACATAAGTGAGTTATCAGGTTTCTTTCACTGCTATCTTCTATCTGAAGACCTCATCAGAAAATTCTACCATCTGTATTGACTTGCACAATGTCATTTTCTAAATTCCTTTTCACTTAGAGATTAATTGGCATATTTGGGAACTTGGGAATATCCTAAGTAATGAAAATGTTTGTGGGAGTTGAACAACCATCTCTTCTGTGCTCACATTCTCCATTCTGCAATGCAGGTGAATTCCTTGGAACAGGCTATGCTGGATGCACTGGTTCTGGATCGAGTGGACTTCGTGAAACTACTTATTGAGAATGGAGTGAACATGCAGCACTTCCTCACTATTCCTCGACTGGAAGAACTTTATAATACTGTGAGCAAGCAGAAATAATAAAATGTCCTGTGATATCTTTGATACTGTATTTAACAGGGGCATCCTTTTTCTTCTTCTCCTTCTGAGATACGCTTGTTTTTTCAGAAAGTACTGAGCCCTGACAATACACAGAAGGATAGCGGTAAAGTGAGACACTGCTACTACATACAGAGTCCTATCGTTTCC